AAAAAAAATTATTATTGATTACTAATCAATAATAATTAGTTGGATTTCTATAAATTACTACTAATAAAAATTTATAATCAATTTTTCTATAATCATTTAGTTACATAAAAAATCATTTGAGGAGTCAGAGAGATAGTACAGTGGGTAAGGCACTTACTTGCCTTGCAAGTGGCCAACCCAGATTCAATACCCAGCACTGCCAGGAATGGTCCCTGAGCACAGAACCAGAAGTAAGCTCCAAGCACTCCTGGAGGTACCCTCCAGCAATTTTTTAAAGATCATCTGAAAATGAAAAAAATTCTATTTATACAAATACAGATATAATTGTTCTTTTCAAAACATATTTTTAATTTCCTAGTAGCAATAGCAAAATAACACTAGACAAATTAAATTTTAAAATGTAAGTACCTAAATTAACACTATTAATATATTTGAAAGAGAATATAAATATGAAGATTGTTCATGTTTGCTACAATTTGGGAAGGATATATAAAATTCATGTTCAAAGAATATGGTAACACCTTTAAATCCTTTAAGTGTTTAGAACTGCATTGGTTTTATGAGAAGAATAAAATTATGGGCGCTATTATAATTACAATCTACAAAATCTTTGTTTTAATTTTGCCTTTTTTAAAAAAATTTATTTTAAGGGAACCATCTAACATTTGATTTTGCTCTAACTTTTCCACAAATTCAAAGTGTTATTAGACCACTAATATGGATTGTCTCTTTGCTTTTATAATACTAAAATAGATATTTGAACATAGAAAATCACTCCCTTCTATGCTCTAAAAAAGGTGAGATTTTTCCACCAAATGCTATTCTATTCTCAACTTAAAATATATGAACAGAGAAGTCTCTGTCAACAACAAAATGGTTGATGATATTAAGCCTGATTCCAAAATTACCAAGTTTACTCTTGAAATCCTCTCCTTTGACTTTGCAGACAAAATAACAGGATTATACTATCTCACAATTCTCATTAGAAGTCTAGTTTAAAACAGGGCCATGGAGAAAACTCACGGGGTTGTAGTACATGTTCAGGATGCAGGAGGGCGGAGTTTGATCGCCAGCACCACATGGTCCCCTGAGCACTTCCAGGAGTGGCCCAAAATCCAAATAAAACAAAAGGAAAGAAAATAAAAAGATTCACACTAACATTTATGACTGTCTCCTACAGAAATCTCTTCATAAAATATTGCCAGTCAATCTAACTAAAATCATACATCAATGAATTCTTGTTGAATTTCAAGGGCAGGTTGCTTTTAACAGCATCAGTAGAGCTCGTGTATATTTTTGCAATCTTCATCATAGTCAATTTTAACTGTGCCATCATAAACGATATGCTGGCTTTGTAGGAGTGAGTTATTTAAGGATGAAATTATGATGTCTATGTCTTAGTTTGAAATAATTCAGTGGAGGAAAATACAGATAGACATATAGAGAAGGAAGAAAGAAAGAGCAAATACGATTTATATCATAGATGAAATTGTGTTTGGATATTTATTGTACCATCCTTTCAACATTTTATTTTTTAATTATTTTAAATGTACCTTAATAATCCTAATATACATTCATATGCCATTCTCCAATTGTTTATCCATAAAATATTTTTGAAATAAAAATTTTAAGAATTTTAATTGTTTTAGAAATTTCTGTTTATTGGGTGCTCCACACTTTCAAATTTATTCATATTAAGTACTAATGCTTTATCTGAATTGAATAATTATTAATAACTGAACAAACTCCAGTAAACATGAGTTCAAGAAAATTAGTTTGGTTTCACTCAGTATGCTTTCCTTTTACCACCTATACTTTTCTAAATTTCCCCAAATATTCATTTTCACTAAATAATATCAGCATTCACCTATACCTTGAGAATAACCAGGAGACAGGATCTATCATACTCAACATTTACTTTAAACCTCATAGGTACTAAAAATTTGTATTAAAAAATATTTATGCGGTATCAAGTTCAAACTCTTGTCTTCACACATGTTAACGTATGCTCTTTACCGCTGAGTCACACCTTCAGACCAGTAAGATAAAAAGGAATGTAACAGAATAGACTAACATGTTATAAAATACATCTAACTTTACAATAAATATGGATTTCTAATATATATCTTAAAGAGAATAATTCAACAGTGTATTGATTTAGGTTGGTCTCAGTTGGGTTCTTTCTTTTTTGGAGTTCAAACAAAGACCTATAGAAACTTCTCAAGGACCCAGAGAAAATGTAAGAACTTCAAAAATCTAATCAACATCTTCTCATTTCCCAGATTTTTAACAAAACAAACTTTTTGATGACTTTCATACAAAAGCCAGTAATATCTCCAGGGTATGTCACCTGCCCCTAGGTGATATGCAACATCACTCTTGAAACTGCCTGTTAAAACAATGTTAGTTGACTATTCCTATTTATCATCACTTTCTTATAGGTAACAATTACTCATATTTCTGGGCATATTCCAGTTCAGAATAACTTCATCAACAGGTCTATCCTCAGGAAATTAGAAAAATGAGTTTCATATGCATACAGCTTCCACCAAAGTTCACACCTTCTTTAGACCAATGCTCAGTTAAAATTATAGCTTTATAGTATGAAAATCCCCCCAAAATATGTGTTATTAAGATGTCTAAATTTGGAAAATACATGGTTTATTAAATTATTGGAGTGGGGGGAAGCTTATGGTTTTAAGTTCTTTGTGGGAGGTAATATTTTTGGAAATAATTCACTTATCATGCTGAGGCTTCGCAGAGAACTAGCCCTGAAAACAAATGTATGTGGTAGTGCACTGCTACCATAGAGAATCAATAGCCATCTATTTAATTTGCTAAGACAATGTAAATTAGTAACTTCTAGCCAGATGTGTGATATACACATCAAACAAACTGCAACCTGTTCATTATGAAGATCCTGTTGACATGCACAGAGCCACTTGATGACATTTCACTTAAAACAGTTCCACATTTGTGAGAATAAAAATTGTCCTACAAATTTTTACATAAAGAATTGGAGCTGAGTAATCAATTTCAGCTTTTCCTCTTATGTGTTTCCGTATATTTCAATTTTATTCAGAGGTATAAAACATCCAGAAATAAAACATGCACCAGGCTGTATTTTCTTTCTATGAGTTATTCATCATCACCACATCTTTTTAATCTCATATAAAGTTGGGAGCCTAATCCTACAGCTCTGAAGAGATGGTAGAGTGAAGAATGACAGTGTCATCAAAGAAAGTACATACACTTATACAGAGAAAACAAAACAGAATATTTTAAAATGATCCCAAACATAAATTAAGTTTACCCATTGGGAGGTCTAACTTGCAGTCTCATCATTTATATGGGTCTATGTGACTATGTACCCTGCTGTTTGATAAAAAGTGATTACTAAACCACAGGCACCCACCAGAGAACAGAGTGTATGTATAATGCTTGCGATGCCTCAGACATACAAAGCACCTTCTTAAAGAATGTCTGTTTCCTTTCCATGGTAAGCAGACATAATATTTCACTCTTTAATACTTCTGATTCACAGATGAACCTGTTTTATGAATTATGTTCTGTCATTTTCTCGTGTTTATATTAATAACAAAACAATGCATCCATAGAATAGATGATTTTGTTTCATGATACTCAAAATATTGGTACTCTTTCTGCTCCGTATTAAAATCCACAGCCACCTTGCTATTACGAAACCTAATGGTATTTATTTTAACACCATTTACCAAAATGAAAGCAATAAGACAATTCTTCTTAATACCTAGCTATTATTCTTGAATGATGAATCTTCATCTTAGCTAAATTCATTTCCCAAGTCTATTGAATTAAATCTTCTCATTAAAACGGGCACAAAGCAAATAGTCTTATTGCCGCGCACAGTATTTCCAACTACTACATTTTTAATTTGGCAATTTAGACGAACGTGGAATGAATCTGGTACTCGTCTCTTATCGTCTGTTCCAAAAAGCATCCCTTAACCAATTCCCTAATGCCAAAAAACACGTTTCCACGAGGCGTCTGGTGTGTCCATGCTTTATGACTAGTTCCTGGGATCCTCTAAAGCCACAAGAATTCCCGTCTCAAACGCACACACATGCAACAAAACAACAAAAACACGTCAACTGCACACAAAGAGTTCTGCACGCAGGGACTTCAATCCAACGCGATCCGACTTTCACAAACTGCACGCAAGACCGTGCATGCTCTTCGCCACCCCGCCCCCCACCTCACCCCCCCCCAACCCCCCGGCTCCAGGTCACGTGACCAGCCTGCTGGGCCACAACTGGGCAACCAGAAGTGATTAATGTTTTTAGGAGAAACGAGGTTCCTAAAGCTGCCGCGGTCGCAGGTGGCATGGACCAGCCCGGCTTCCCGCCCGGCGTTGCAGCAACCCCGCGGCCAGATTTGGCGCATTACCGCGGGTCCTTGGGCTTCCTAGAGGCTCGCGTCAGCCCCTCCTGGTCACTTAAACCCCCTTTGTGGTTCGGGGCAAGACTCGCTCAGAACTCTTGAGACTTGCAGCGGAGACTCTGGTTAAAATTAAGAACTTCAAACCCAGATTTGAAAAAGTGAAACAGATGTCCTGTTTGTTAACCATAAACGGCTCCGTACGTCGGACCCTTTCCTCTCTCTCTCTCTCTTTTTTTCTTTCTGCCGCATTAAGTTTTATTTAATGCAGAGTTCGCTTTAAAAGGTTGAGAGAGAGAGAGAGAGAGAGAGGCAGAAACAGAGATAGAGATAGAGACAGACAGAGAGAGTCGAAAGCAAATCTGGACTGTGGGGAGTAAGGAGGAGGGGTCCTAAATCAAGCCTCTTTCTAAAAGATGAAAGTGCTGGAGCTGCAGTCTCCCTGCCCAGCGGCCGGAGGAGGGAGAGAGGGTCACAGGCCAGAGGACCCACACTCGCCAATCCAGGGTCCCAGCCTGTGCGCGCGCGCCGGCGCGCGCGGAAGAGGAGCCTTCGAGGAGCGCCAGGGCCGAGCCCGAACTCACGTGAGGACGTAGTTGACGCTGACGATACAGTGCGGCCTGGAGGAGCGGCTGTTGTGCACGATGGTCGCGTAGCTCTGCACCCACACCCAGCCGCCGTGCTTAGCCAGGAACCTGTAGTACTTGGTGGTCACCTGCCCCTTCACCAGCACTGCGGGAGACACGGAGAGCGGCGAGTGATACGCGAGTCCGCGCAGCGGAGGGCAGGTTACCCACGGGCCCTTAAACGAGCTGTGAGGTGGGGGTGGGGGGCCGCAGGGAGAGACCGCCGTCCGGGACCGCCGACCGGTTGATTTGCACCGATCACTGGGCTCCCTCGCCATTAGCAAAGGCGGGAAGGAACACTTAAAACGTTGGGGTACCCTCTCCTCCCTCTCCATTTGTTAACGGTGGACAGCGGAACCTGTGCAAATGTAACTCCGACGCCCTCGATTCCGCGTCTAAGAGACAGTGTTTAATCTCGAAGCAAAACTGTAGCAAAAAACCCGTAGCAAGTTAACGCATCTGAGCAGAACTGGCTCGGAGCTACGGTTTTTCTCTTGCTTAGGGCCGTTCGGCTAAGCGTATCAATAGGCGGCCGACGCGCCTTGGGGGGGAGAGGAGACGGTTTCTCCCTAAACTCTTCCTGGCCCGAGAGAGCCTTGGGATTGGAGAAACAACTGGGTTCAGACTCGGAGCCGCTGCTCGAACCCGTCCTCGACTCACTCTGCGGCCAGCCCCGCGCCCTCTCCCAGGCCCCGGATGGCCGCTTACGCAGGTGATGGGCGCAGCGCAGGTGGAAGGTGTCGCAGCCGTGCACGTGGTGGTACAGGGTTTTCTCTATCAGGTCTTGAGGCTCGTACCCCGTCAGCTCTGCCACTCTGCCAAGAGCAAAACGCCAGCGGGAAGAGCAGGGGGGTAAGGGGACTGATGAGGTGCTCCCTACCCCACACAACCATCTCCAATTAGGGTGCCCACCCTCACTGTGCAGTTCTCCCTCCCCCCCACCACCACCACTGCCCCCATTCAAGTCACCTTATCTGCAAATCCCGCCCACCTGGAGGACAAGCAGTTTTTCATAGGCGAGCAGGCGCCCTCCCTCTAGGGATGACCCTTTTCAGCCTTAGCTCCCACCTGGAGTCCAGAAAGATGAGCTTCATGTCCAGGCTGGCACGGAACATGAACATGTTGCTGTGCAGCTTGATCTCTGTGACCGCGCTGGGTGGCAGCGAGTGGCCCACGGCCACCAGGCCCACGTTCTGGTAGCAGCCATCAAAGGGAGACATGTCCAGGCTATACTGGCGGATCTTCAGGTAACCGCTACAGTGAATGACCTGAGGGGAGAGTAACTGAGTGAGAAACAACTGAGGTCGGGAACCACCCCATGAAGGTGAGAAGGGGAGTGAAAGAATGGAGACCCTCTTAGTGACAAATGTCAAGTGGCCCGCACTCCCTCTCCCTCAGCTGTCTGAAGGTATTGGAAGGCATCAAAGGAATGACTGTCCTGCCTACTGAACTCACCTGGAAACTGTAAGAAGTGCAAAAGCTGAGGTCTGAACGATCCTCACCAATCCACTGACTTCACCAGCTATTCCAGAGCCTTACACATCCCTATAGCCCTTTTATATTCTTTGGGGAGGGGCGGGGGAGATGACTAGTGTAAGCCTGACAGTAACCAGACTTAACCAGACTCAGTACAACTGAGACCTGGTTCCAGGTGCTCATCTTTGCCACTGCATTGACATGTTTGAGGGATGCCCTCCAGGTTGGTCCAGGCAGTAGGGACCTTTCACACCAAAAGCACTGTCCTGGTGTCTTACCCTTTCTTCTTCTCCTGTCTAGGAGGCTACAGCTGCCAGGAGCATGGATCTTGCCTCTCAGCTACTCACCTTGTAGCCCCCACAGGTGAGACCGGCGTTCCTCTTGGCTAAGACACACTTCATCCTCAGGAAAAAGGAGCGTTCGATCTCATACTCTGTGGAAAAGAGCAGCAGAGGGAGGCCTTGAGGCAGGTGGTATGAGGCCTCCAGAGCTAACTGGGAGAAAGGCACAGGTGACTGCAGGAGCAGGAGAGTCACAGGTCCAAGCTTGTCTTACCCTGCACGAAGTGAGAGTGGTAGGGCTGATGGGCCGTGAGCACCGCCGTCATCTCATCGTGGTCGGCCGGGTGGATGTATTCATAAATGCTGTTCCCGGTCAGTTCTACCTGTAAAGGGGAGGGCATCGCAGTCTCCAAAGTGGTGGGATATTGGCTGGAGAGGCGGGAAGACTGGACCAGGGGATCTACAGGACTGTGAGGACAGGAATCTCACTAGATCCCACCCTATAACCTACTTCCTGTTATTTGTGGTGGCTTATCAAGGTCTCAACTTCTGTATTTATGACAGTAAATAACTGTAGTTAGAAGGAGGCAGAGAAGGAGGAGAAGGAGAAGGAGCAACAGAGGCAACCACTGCTGCTGCTTCCTGGCAATGTTGTGGTGAAAACCTTGAGACAAGAACGTAACTATCTGCCAAGATGTTTGGCTTAAGGCAGGAAATCATGAAGGTAGCCTCTGTGAGGTTCTGAGGTAGAAACTAAAAGGTAAGAAGAGAAGTAGAGACCTCCTGCCAGCAAGGTGCTTCGAGTCCCAGAAAGTCACTTAGAAAATCTTTAAGAAAGTTCCACGCCCCCCACCCACCCATTGTTCACTCCCATCTATTCCTGCCTCCAGTTCTTTGTGTAAACACTGAAGGCTAGAGGTGTGGACCACTCACCTACCTGAGAAAGACCCAAGTGGACTGAGGCTGTCTCTGAGATGTACATGATCTTCCCATCTGGAGCCACCACAAAGATGAAGCCATCCAGGGTCTGGAAATACAGAAGCAGAGTTGAATGGGTTACTAGAAGAAATTGGAGAAGGTTAGGGGCCAGAGACAGAAGTTTGAAATGTTCATACAGAAATGCAAAGACTAAATAGAGAGAGGGGCCGGGTAGAACTGGGACATGAAAAACCAATTCCTTGAGTCCTTTCTTGGTTCATCCCAGATTTATAAGCAACTAAGACATGTAGCACACTGGGAGAGATCTCAAGGAACATGAGGCCACTGCCATCCAGATTTCAGAGTCACTGAATTGGGCAAAGCAAGCACATACAGACACACTGGGAGGGGCTGGAGTGATAGCACAGCAGGCAGGGTGTTTTCCTTGCACAAAGTCAACTAGGGTTCAAGTCCCAGTATCTCATATGGTCCTCTGAGCACCGCCAGAAGTAATTCCTGAGTGAAAGCCAGGAGAAACCCCTGTGCATCGCCAGGTGTGACCCAAAAAGGAAAAAAAAAGAAAAAAAAAGAAACAGTGGGAGAGGGGTAGAAATCATGACCTTGGTTGGGTTATTGAATTTGGTTGGGTTAAGCTCTTGGGCTTATGGTTATTGAAAGAAGCAGAAGTTTCCTGTGTCAGTCTTGGAGGACTCCCTAGTGGCAACTGCTTATGAAAAGTGTAAGCAGAGTTTGAGAAATAGTAGAAACTGGGAGAAATGGAAGAGCTGATAGTCTGAAAAGTTTGTGCACAGAAGGAAGCTGCCTAGAGGCTCTGCAAAGAGTCCCAGAGAGGGGGATTTAGAGGATGAGAGGTTTCCAGACAGCAAGTCCATAGAGTAGTGCTATAGTGTATATGTGAGTGTGTTTACATTGACGCAGCAAACTGACAGGCTCTCCATGAAGGAAAGTCAAAAACTTTCACTGCCCCTTTATCTCGGTGAATGAGGCTTCAGTTCTGGCAGGGGAGACAAGATGAGTCAGATCCTGCTCTCAAGGAGTTGTAAGTCCAACAAGGACAACTGGTGTGAAGACAGATATAATGACCCACAGCTGAACAGAGCATGGGGTCACATGCTGAATGGCCAGAGGCCTGTGGAAGAATAAGCAAAGCCTGAGAGGAGTTGTTTGGCCATAAAATTGAAGAGAAAGCTTGATTTAGAGAACGGAGGATGGGGATCCTAGCCAGAGGAGAGACGGCAGATGCAGGACTTGGAGGAGGAGAATCTGGTATATTTCTGTGAGGATTTGGGGCGGTGGGTGCTTAGGAAGTACACTCACTGGTATAAGGTATTTAAAAAATTTGAGAGCCAGTCTGAGAAATCTGGAGCCAGTTCAAGAAATCTGGAGCTGCTGTCATAAGCACCAGAATCCCAAGAGAGGGGGGAGGGCATGGATTTTTGTACTTTTCCTGAGAGAGTGTGATAGTTACCTACAGAGTGAAAGAGTGGAGATGAGATGATCAAGACTCAACTTGGGTGATCACAAAGGGATTTGAGGTTTCAGTAAGGCATTGGTTAGAGGGTGACACCATCTTTCCCAGATTGAAATGTGGAGAAGCATGGTGAGCTTTGATGTGGATGGAAGACTGAAGGAGGGAGATACGAATTCAATTTTTGTCAGGTTGGGGGAGTGGGGGGGGGCAGAAGGGGTGGGTGAAGTTCAGGCAGGTGCTTATAGATTTCCATTTGCCAGTGTCCAGTTACCAGTAGGAAATAAAGATCTGTGACCGAAGGGGGATATTTGCACTGGAAACATCAGGTAGAGTCCGGTGTGTGTGGGGAAAGGAGTCGGGGTGAATGTTACTGAGATTACCCATAAGATCTTGCGGCTGTTAGAGGAGAAACAGCTGAAAACATAAAGGAAATGTCAGTGTTTACAGCTGACATTTGGTGGGGAAACCAGAAGAACAAGGAAAGAGGGAGAAGAATCCAGGGAGTTGCTTTAGAAACCAAGAAAGAATGTTAACTTAGCAATGTCAGCTCCATCAAGTCTTTCCCCAAATGCCATTTTCTCAGTAAGATCCTCTATAACTGTTCCCCTTGAAACAGCACCTCTCAAATACAGCCCTCCTCCTTCCCCATTGCTATTTTTCTGCACAGCACCTACAGGACCTGTTCTGCTATGCAGTGTACCTGGAGGGCTTGCAAGGCTGCCCTCCTTAGAGTGTAATTTCAGTGAGGGCACGGGTTTGGGTCTGGCTCACATCTGGCCCTCCTGTACTGGTGGAATGAATGAGGAAAGGTGGATAAGAGATAGACTTCCTATGCTGAACACGAAAACAGAGTAGAACCCAGGCAGGACACTGTGACTGAGAGAGATGCCAGGGTGTGAGTTGTCAGGAAAGGGGGGCAGGAAATTTGAGAGTGTCATTAAATCCTGTGAGGTGACAGGGATAAGTAGGAAAGAGACCAGACGGGACTAAGAGATGAAGGTTTGGTTCTCCTGATTACACTGGTGAGGGAAATTAGCTGGGAATGTGGAAATATGGCTGAGTAGCTAGAACAGTTGTTGAAAAACACTTGATGGAGCATGTCCCTGAGAAAAAGGAGGAGCAGAGGGTTGTTAGTGAAATCTGGTGTGGAGGCCAGGCTGCTGGGGGATGCTTGCATCATCCATGCCATTCTCTTCACCGCTCTGAAGCATCTTTTCAGTTTGTGGAATGGATCTGGAGTTCTGGGTCTGATGCTGTGAGGTCGAGGTCTGGAGGGCCTAGCTGTGAAACAGGAATGGCCGTGGCACTCCTATATGGAGGTGCTGCGCAAGCTTGGACCACAGAAAGAACCGGCTCAGGAGCCTCCTCTGATGCAGCTTAGGTTGGAGGCTCCCGAGGGAGGAGGTCGAAGTGGACTTGAATAATAATAATAAGGGGGCGTGAGGTAGGAGACAAGTGTCAACTCTAAAAATGCCACCGGGAGTATTACTATTTTAAATATTTGCTAGGAGACTTAAGCGGGCAACGGGCAATTTAAAATGGTGTACACTGCAAACAAGGCAGTAATGGGCGCCTCGACATTGGTGAAACTCATTACCTGGGGAGGTGTGTGCTCGTAGCCTAGGGTCTGTACTTGGCCTGGACTGACCTGGGGTGAGAGCTGCACCAAGAGAGAAAGGGGAAAGGTGGGACCCACGGAGAGAAGAAGAAAAGAGATGCAAACGCAGCTGGAGAGATGTAGGGACTTTACTGACGTTTCTAGCAGTCTCCAATCATTTATTGCGGAAATCCAACTCAGACGGTCTTGCAACCGGGGGCCCTGCAGACAGCCTGGCCCTGGACGCTGAGATTCCTTCATCGGATAGTATCTAAGAATGCCCCCCCCCTTTGGGCTGGGTCTTATGGGTTGGGGCTTTGTTCTCTCTCTCCCAAACCCAATGTGCACTGATCACCTTTGCCACCCTCTGCCTGGCGAGATGCCACCCCACCCAGTGTGGTGTTTAAGAGTAGAAGGGATGGCTAGAAGACCCTGTGGAGGCCGGATCCTGTTGATCCTAGTAGCCGATAAAGGACCCTGGGGGCCATGGCGCCGCCTGCTGGTACCTGGAGCAGATGGGAGCCCAGCTCGCGGCCAACGTTGTCCAGGGGACTGGTCCGACTCGAGTGGCCCCATGCCTCGCCAAGTCCTGTGGAGACACCGAGACAGACTTTGGTGACAGAACTCCGACCTGCACTCTACTCTCACAGTTATGTCATGCACGCTTATTCGAACACCTGCCCAGGTGGCATTGGACCCTGCTCCCACACCCTGCAGCACTGTGGCTCGGAAATTTCAGTCCCTCCCTCCCTGCGTCTGGACCCAAGGTCAGACTCTCTCTCTCCCCTAGGGGTCGACTGAATCAGGCTTCTCAGGGATCTTGAGGGACGGTCCTCCCTGCCTGGAGAGTGTAGGGAACGATTTGTGACATGAAGGGACATCTCATCATTCCAGCCCTGGGATAACTTTTTGTGGGGGTCGTTTTGTGTGCTGAGAGAGTGGGGGTGGAAGACTATGCCTCTCTCCCAAGTTTTCATTGCGACCCTTATCTAGAGGCCAAGGACGCCCACCCGGCAAAAGTCGTCGGCCCCTGGGAGCGATGTGACGCTGGGTCAGGGCCAGCCAGACCTGAGGTTTCTGATTGGCTGTGGGCGCTCCAGCCCACTGGCCTCTGCTCTGCCTTGGCCTCTAATCTGCTTCGGGGAAAATCCGTTTGCAAAACTCGCTTGCAATCCTTCTACTGCCTATCTGCTTGGAGCCCCGCCTTATACCTCCTAACCTCACCTAACATTGGGAAAAAACCCAATAGGACTTTTGAAAACCAGTGATGTTCGGGTGCTAAAGCCATCTTAGCTATTCCGTTTTGGCCAGAATGCTTTGTTTTCTCTCCTTTCCAGTGTTAGCAAAGACAGCTCCTTCCTCTCCTGGACACTGCCAGGTGAAGAGCCTCCCAGATTTTACCACAAATCACTTCTCTGGTGATACCTCAACAAAATTCTCAGGAATCCTTGGGTGATATATATTAAATTTATATGATATTGGTTATAGTGCCACTACTTGTAGAAAGAGAATGAAAGGAGGGGGGGAAAAACTTGCCCGGATCAAGGATTATATTATTTATGGGTAGTGTTACAGTGCTACAGTATATTTTAATAAGTGTCACTCCTGAAATTACTTTAACTAGATAGTTGAACTCTTGTATGCTTACACCATTAAACAAAGTTTAACATGACATCCCCCCCCCTTTTGGGGAGGGGGGACAAATCACTATGAAGTCCACAACGGGTAAGCTTGCAGAGCAAGCTGGACTGGGGGGGGGGGGGCGGGGGTCTTTTAGACTAAAGCATGGAGTTGAACTCTTAAAATGTGTTAGCCGGGAGCTGCGTCTTAAGCAAGCGATCAAAACCCTGGTAACCGTGAGCGCCCTTTAAGTTCGAATCGGGTCTTTCTGGGTGTTTGCACATCTAAATAAATCTAACGATTTCCCCGCCGCTCTGCAAACACCGCTGCTCCCCGCCCGCGCGGGACTCCGCTCCCTTCCTCTCGTGCGGTGCAGCCCTCTGGCCTCCTGAGCCCTCCCCGTTTGTCCTCCCTGGGTCTGCACTGCCCGGATCCCCGCCGTCCTCCAGCAACCCGCAGGTGGGCCTCGCCAACGCCGTCCGTTCACCTCCGTCCTCTCATCTCATCCCGCTTCTCCTCCCGCGCGCCTGACCCCAGCCAGCGGCTCGTACACACCCACCCAACAGCAGGGGCGGGAAGGACTGGCTTAGGGGGACGCCCGCCCCTACCCCCAGAAAGGAATAATCTCTCCGAGAGCCGAGCAGAGGGGAGGGGTCGGCGGGATCCACGCCGGGGGCGTTGCGGAGGCCTAGAAACCCCTAAATTTCGCCAAGGCGACAGGCGCGGACGCAACTCCGCCTGCACCCAAGGCTTGGTGGCCGCCCTCGGTGTCTCGGCTCCGTCCGCCGCAGCTCCCGCAAACGGTACGAAGCCTTTGCGTGGGGCCACCTATATCTTCTTTGCAAAATTTAGAAGTTCTTTCCACGAGCGGCTTGGAAGACGCCGGGGAGCGACCTTCCGACCCGAATCATCTGACAATCGGGGTTAAGGACCGGTCCCGAACTCCCCGCGCCAGCCTGGGCTGTTTGTTGCGGAGGGTTGCGGCCTCATTAGTATGCGCCTACGAGGGGAAAAAAATAAGCTTTCCCGGCAGGTTAATCAACAGCCCGTCCCCGCGCACGTTCACAGAGGCCTCGGCGCCCTCCCCGTCCCTCCCCGCCCCCTTTTAAGGAACCTTTTGCTTTCACGGAGCATTGCCCGCTCTTTAAATTCCCGGTCGTCAGCCCCGTCACACGATTCTGTCTGGGTTAATGTTTCATAAGGGTCTGGCTGCCCGGGTCTACTTGCTTGGCTTCCCCGACCTAATACTCGGGCCGAGCTCGTCCTTCAGACGGTCTACACCTCCTGAACCCCCTAGCCGAGAGAGCTCTGCCTTGCGAAAATCCCGGACTGGACCCGAGACAGCCCTCTCCCTGGACCCCCTCACCTCCTGTCTGCGGTGACCCGCTCCCGCACCCAGTTTCAGTTGGCGAGGGGGGTAAGCTGAGATTTCGTTTCTGCACTTGACCTACCGCAGAAAATTCTCAAATCCTTTGATTGTCTGTTTAAAATGAGGAGGAAACCAGCTCCCTTTGCGGTCGGATTACAGTGGGAACAAGATCTAAAGATTCTCTTGTAATTCGGTGAGGCCGAGGGAACTGGGTTTTGCAGAGGAGAAAAGGAGCTCTGTGAGGGAGGCGATAACTAAATCGGGTTTTAGACAAAAGGATTTTCCCCAGCTAAAGTGGACGAAGACAAAGGAAAACATAATCTATTTTGGAAGATTTCCAAGATATGCCACATTAACCTTCGCAGATAAATTTTGCTTCTCCCCGCCCCCCTTTCCCTTCAAGTCTGGTTTATCATATTTACATAAGTAGTATTAGAAGGGATGTATCTATTATGGATCTAAAGGGCTAGCTCACATTTCATGTGAAAACCCCGGGCGAAGTTTCACTGTTGCTTTACCCTCAGTGCACGGTGGAGCCATTTCCATTTAAATACCCCCTGACCCAAGGATTACCTCAATGGACTGACTGCATGGGTTTTGTAATTTCCTGAAAATGAGATTTCGATTTATAAAACAAGAAACCAATTAGTAACCAAATGAGGCGAAGTAGATCCACTAAAATTGACCTAATCCCACAGGCACAATTTAGGCCCGTTCTTGGCGAATGAATGATGAGCACCCGTCTAGCATGAGCTCAAAGCATCATCCAGCTGTGTTATTGCAAGCAGCAAAAATAAATTGATCGAGCTTTTCCTTCGGAATGAATTTCATATCCTTGACAAAATATAGATTACCCACCCAGCATTGTCGCCTCCTTCATTCAGACAGGAAAAGGAGGAAGAAACGAATTTGTTCTACTGCTCTTTTTTCTCCCCACCTCCCTTTCTGTTAATACTTTCCCTTTGGCTGTTAATATTTTTTCGGTATCTCAACAAAAAACGGGGTCCTCCTTGTAGCCATTCACTGGAACCCAAGATATAGATGTGCCTTTTAAGCCGTGGGAGAAAGGGGAGGAGTGAGACTCTCTCGAATCCCCAAACAAGCAACTCTCCTTCGAATGTTTCTAAATTGGGGTCTTGGCGGGACCTGTCTGGGCCACCCGAGTTTTCCTCGGGGATATTGCGTGCTGGCTGAGTGAGTGCTGCCCACGCCTACTCTCCCCCGGGCAACCAGCAGTTTTCGTCCCAGACCTTTGGAAGCCTCTGGGCTCTCTGGAGAAGAGGGTTTCGCAGCCGAAACGCCTTGTCCGCAACAGTGAATGGACAGGAGGCTTTTTCATGAGCCCAAGTGCATGGGGCTTCCCCACCCTAGGCATCAGAGCCCACCCTTGTTCGGACCTTCTGAGGGCATCCTGCGGGTTTGGCTAACCTTGCAAGGGCGTGGGGATCTCTCGAGGTTCAGGTTTTGCCGCTCCCAGACGCCCAGACTCCAGAGCATGCGTGCCCAGCCCTTTCCTATCTGCCTTGGAGACCCCAGGGCTGCGCCCGGGAAATGCACCAAATTACTGCAAATCCGGGATAGCTCAAGGTCACAACCAGGACTCTATCGCTCTCGCGATCTTTCTTAGTTGGTGTCTCCGTCTCCGCTCCGCACTGGCTCCGCCGGGCCCGAGTCTGTGGGATCGAGCTGGCCGTCCGTGCCAAAGGCAGAAACGGGGCAGGTGGGGCTCGCTGAGGTCCCAGCGCAACCGTGGGACCATGCACGCGGCCTTGCCAAGGGAGCCCTGCGTGCGTGGAGGCTGGGACCGTCTAGAGGTGTGACCCGGGGACTCCAGAGGGTGGACGGGGATGGCCAAGACGCAGGCGGATCCTGCTTAGGTCTACTTGGAACCCGAACCCGGACGGCCTGCGCGCGTTTGCTCTCCTGGGAACCGCGCGCTCGTTGCGGCGGGATCTCTGCTGACTGCTCAGATCGGCACGTCCTTGGGGGGCAGTGGCAGGGTGGCGTGAAGGGCAGCGGGTGTGGGCCCGGCGCCGCCGGCCCTCAGTCTGGGGCAGGCAGACGGAGACGCTGGAGCCCTGGTCGCGTGGATAGCGGATTCTCCAGCGATCTGGCTCGCCTCCCTTGGCTTTGGCCAACCGAGCGATCTGGCTTGTCTTCTGCCGGGTCACGGACTGTTGCGCACCGGTACGGATGGGACGCACCGCGGCGGACTTGGTCGTAACGCCCGGGGCGACACAGAGGCTTCCAAGAGGTCGCTGTCCCAGGTCTGGCCCCAGCCACCAAAGGTGCGACGATTCCAGCAGAGATGTGCTCCACCTTTCCCAGTCCCTCTTTTTCACTGATTGGTAGGCCTATCACTAACTAACAGAGTACAATTCCACGGATCCGAGACTGGAGGTGGATAGGAGAGCGTCAGAAACCATCAAGTGTTCGCTGAACCCAAACCTCAATTTCTGGAGAAAGATACACCTGGGCAGCCAGAGGGAGAAACTCATGGACTCTCGGCAGGAACCCACCAATTCGCACCCTGGGTCTACATTTGTGCCTGTAAATATGTCAAAGCTGCCGAGGGAGTTGCCCAGCGTTGAAAAATAACTCTCCTAGCAGTTAGGTCTGTCCTCTGGAAACGAAACCTGATTTTTAGCTTTAAGCGGATGGTTGTTCCCTGGTTAAAAGCATCACACCACCACAGCTTATGTTATCCTGCTTTCATTGTTTTATTTTTATTAAGAATCCTTCCATTTAAAGAAAAAAAAGTATTTTTCCCGTTGGTCTGGCTCACAATTTCTAGCACATAAATCTGCCTTGCATATACTCTGCACAGAGTTTAGTCCTGCACTTTACATTTTAAGTCAACATCAAAACTGGAATTAAGCAGAGAAAACCAGCATGGAGAGTAAACTGTGCTTAAAGGATTTTAAATGAGAAAAACTTCTGTAAGAAAATAAACATGGAAACCTAATGCTCAATCATTTCCCTGAACAGCAAGAAAAACAGCTTTAAATCACCCATCCACGTGGGAAATGGAGCCTCTTTTTGCCTTCAGTTCTTGGCCTCAGAAAAAAAAAGTGACTAAGAATTTCAATTCTGAAATAAGTTTTATAGAAAGGGACTGTCTAATTAAAAAAGATTTGTTTAATTATCCTTGTTCTTCCAGATTTTGTGGAAACCCTTTCCTACACCATTACCGATTATAAATTTGATTATTTTAATTTTTCCAAGATATTTTGATAATTAAATAGTAGTGTGTGATGTTACCAAGGTTATGAATGGCTATAGATATAAAAATAGGTCTGATATCTTAAAATCTTATTTTGTAGTCATTTACACCATTAACCAAAATTGCATTATATCTGGATATCAATCATAACCTTCTTCTTAGTTCAGTTTGACCTGTTTTGCACACAAATAAAGCCATGCGCTCTATTTTTATTCTGTTTTCTGAATTTCATAACACCAAGGGCTTACACATTTCTGGATGACTACATATTTCCTCCACAAGGCTATTTTTAGAAAAGAATACATAGCCAATTGGGATAGTTGCAGTTTTAATGATTTTTAGAAACCTTTTCTGATTCTTTTTAAACTATGAAGTATCTCATTTAATGATCTATTCTTAATTATTCCAGAAACCCATGTCTCATCTTCTGTTCTCCCTCTCCCTCAAAAGTTCAATTTTATATAAAGTCAGATAAATATAAACTAAGATTTATTTCCCCACCTTCAAATCTGCTAGATTCTGAGCAAAGGTTGCAATACAGCAACCAAAGGGGTAAGGTAGAAAGTTACAGTTTAAGAATTTTTTTCAATGTAAGTATGGAAGGATTTTTGTTTGTTGATGTAAGTCTTTGGTCATCACAGGTGACCACAGATGAAATGAACTAGAAGCAAAAACATTGGAGTCTTGTTGTCATTATATGCCTAGAACTAAATGTCACCAGATTTATAACTATTTTTAAAAATCTATGTTATGTGTTATACAGTGGTAACCAAGGTGAACTAGAACTCCTTATCTCATCCTTAAAACAAAACTTCATTGATGATATATTATGTGTTAGGATTGCCTTAAGGTAAATGTAAAAATAAATGTCATCTTCAAATAATTTTCCTTTTTCTCATCACTAGAAAATATTCCTTCTATATAAAGTGTTCAGTTTCCCCACAGCCATGACCCCCAATCTTGTCCACTCTACACCTTCAAATTTGAACCCAAATTTGGCACCCTCTGCAGGTTGTGACTGGTTCTGCAGTTTATGATTACTTCCATTGAAAGTTGTTGCGTTTGATTGTTTGTTTTCATTGTTCTTTAATATTTTAAAGGACTGTATTTTTTCAAAGTTATTCACTTTTAAAATTAAAACCTCATCCCAGGGAGCCAGCTGTTTGGATGACCCTGTCTAACTCACCGGGTGGAGGCCACGGGTGAGTTATGAGCTCAACGGTAGCTGGAGAAATAAATGATCTGCCCAGAGTTCACACATCGTCCATCCCCCCTCCCCATAAACTCTTGCTCACCCACAGAAGAGAGATGTGGGAGGGGCCGGGGCCTAAGGGGGAAGGTGATGGGGGCTGTAGAAAGCACAGTCGCTCTAGCAGGCACAAGGGACATTCCTGACCACCAAAGGGACTCCAGTGGAGTCTTATTAGCACTCTCTTTAGAAACTGCAAGTTGGTTAAGAGTTTACTTTTTGTTCCACCTATATATCACGCTATCTGCGATTTGTGGAGTTTGCACTTCGTTAAACAAGAAAGCTTGCTTCCTTAAAAATAAAAACAAAAGAACAAAAGCCAGCGTGATCCCCTGATCCCCTCCTGGTTGTGCCTGCCCGGGTCTGCAGGACACAGACAACGCCCCTGGCCGTGCGACCGTCTCACTCGTCGCCGCCCAGGAACGCCGACCCGCTATTATTCTCCTCCAGCGATTACTCGAAGCCCCACAAGCAGCACCATATGCTTCTTCTGATCAAACAGCGAGCGACATCGGCACTGATAATTGACGAGGCTCGTTAGAAATCACGCAGAAAGGGAGCCCACTGAGACCGCAGAGGCTGACAAATCACTGCTAATAATCCTGTTAGGAACAGCCTGGCCAGCGGAGTTCGCAATAGCTTTATTTTTATAAAGTGGGCGAAGACAGTATAAAGGACAATGAGATCTCTCTCTCTCTCTCTCTCTCTCTCTCTCTCTCTCTCTCTCTCTCTCTCTCTCTCTTTCTCTCTCTGCCCCTCCCCTCCCCCAAGAAGGCAAAGTTATAATACTAATTTCTCCACCAACAATTTTCAGAACACTTTCTGTAAGCAGTGTAGTTTAAATAAAGTTTCTTATCCCCTTTTCTTTCTGCTTCTTTTTCCCTCCCTCCCTCCCTCCCTCCTTCCCTTCCTCCCTTCCTTCCTTCCTTCCTTCCTTCCTTCTTCTCTCCCTCCCTCCCTTCCTCCCTCCCTCCCTCCCTTCCTCCTTCCCTTTCTCTATTCTTTCTCCTTTCTTTCTTTCGTTCTTTCATTCTTCCTTTCTTCCTTTTCTTCTTCCTAAGTACTTTAGACTTTCATTCTCTCTGATTTATAGATTGTGCAAGGAAATGCTTTAAGACAAAATAGCTATAATACTAGTTGCAATTTGAGGATAAATTAAACTATAATTAGAAAGTTTCCCTTTAGGTATCCTGATTTGGAACATGCCATAGAAGTTTTTTATTTAGAAGATAACTTTTAGTCAAGATCAAGGAAAGTGAAACTCCAAGCCCAGTAATGACTATATTCTTCTACTCTCTATTACCTTAAAAGAAAACAACAACCCCCCAAACCTCATTTTGGCCCCAAATCAACATAAACATAAACAAAAGCAATATAAACCTGTATGGGTCAAATCTGGTTTGTAAACAAGCATCATTTTTTTCTCTAGTATTTATATGTGTTTAGCATTTTCTCCTTTACATTTCAAAATCTCCATCTTCTAGAAAAGATATCTAAAATATTTTTAATCTGTTTAGTTATTTGAAGGTGAGTAAAGGGGAAATAGAAGAATAATTTTTCCTATTTATTTAGTGAGTGTATGGTTTTTTACAGTACAATGTTTTATGAAGGCTGAACTCTACTCACAACTAATCACAATCATCTAGTAACACAAGTTTTAAATCAACAGAGCAGCTTTCTAACTTCTAAGCTGCATAAGACTATTTTCTCAGTATGCCAACCTGCCACCCAGGAATCATTTCTAAGGGGACTAGCTTCTTAAACTCAATCTTAGGTATTTGGGGACTCATCTATTTTCTCAGAAATATTTATTAAATCCAATTGCAAATCACCATCACCAAGGCAGAGTTAGCTTTAGAATCTAAAAACATGTCAAAAACTTTATAGAATGAATTCGCTCTAACCTGTAAAGAGAGAAGGGTCAATTCAGGACATAGTTGTTCATAAATATGCTTGCTCCTCACTTGTAAAATTACAGATACACAGAGATTATTGGCTGGCTTAGCTAGTTCCATGTTCATGAGTGTGTGTGTGTGTGTGTGTGTGTGCGTGCGTGTGCGTGTATGTTACAAGAATTTGGCAATATTCCTGCTTTTTCTACTAGATACAATTCTAACAAGAGGAATTTTTTTTTAAGTAAGTCATGTTTGGATTAGCAGTACTTTGAATTGAGCCCAGTATCTGAAGTGTTGACAAAAGCACTGTTGGGCTGCTTCCCAGCCAAACATATCTGATGGAGTGAAGAAAAAGTATTAATGAGGAGTAGAAGGAGCCAGGAAAAGAAAGACAGCAGGCATTCTATATTCAGAGAGGTCCTTAGTCAAACAGTCGCTCTAAACTTCCCTTTGCAGAGAGTTTGGGTGTGTGCATAAATGTACTTGTCTGCCCAGTGGTGGAAATTTGCTCACTCTCTCGCAAATCCCGGACCCCTTCTGCCTTTGAAATTCCATCTGGGCAGCCACTTACCTTCTGGGAACACTACTCTCATTTTGAGATAGCTGGTGGTGAGTCTGATTATAGATGCTTTGTCCAATTGCGAGGTGATCGCCGAGGGCAAAGGCAGTAATTTAGCCAGTTCATAAAATTCGCTGTTTTCCTTCTCCCTCCTAGTCCGGGCAGCATTTTTGGACTTCTCTTTCATTGTGTCTCGTTCCCCCTTTCCTCTTACAATATAAACTCCACAGATTCATCCACAAGCAAAAATAAACTTTCAATTAGAGACCATGTTTGGCAAAAACATACAGCATACTTGGGAGAGAAGGAAGTCTTTGCTTCAACGTCTCCGTGGCAGTAAAAGACCCACGCGGCGAACGGAAAATGTTTTCTTTAAAAAGCTGGGAAGCGACCATAGGAAAGTTGCTGATCCTCCGCAATTCTGAGCAATCCTCGGAGGGTCTGGGTATCAAAGGCCGGCGGGGGCCCGGCAGGGCCAGCCTTTTTTTTTCGATTCCACTCTGCTCACCCCGGTGCTCGGAAAACCGACATAATAATCCCCGACGGTCGCTCTTCAGTCCCAGGGCGCTGGAGATGGCTCGGGGCCCTTTGGAAGAACGCGAGCGTCGGACGACACTTTCAGGCCACTGGGAAGACAAGAGTATCCGAACATTAAGAGACCTGCGACTCCACGACCACTCCCGCACTCGCCCTAAATCCGTCAACCGGCCCGAAAGGGCCTCGGAGCGCCCCAGCTTTCCCCGCCACGCTCGGAGGTTTGGTGCATCGGTGTGTTTGTTTACACGTAGTAGTAAGAGATCAGCAGCCAGCTCCTGAGTCCCCTGCAAATAACGTTCGCATTCCCTCCCCCAGGCCAGCCACATTCTCCATCCTGCTGGGTAGTTGCCCTCACTACCAAAACGCACATTTCAGGAGACCCTGGCCAGGAACCGCAGGTCCGGGAGCCCAAATCCAAGGCCAGGCACGCGTCCCAGCCAAAGCAGAGTTCGGAGAGTCGGCATTCCTGCGCAGCGCGCCGGGCGCCCCCTCTCCGGGGTCTCCCACCCCCCCCACCCCCTTGCGCCCCGTTTGGTGGATCTGGAACTTGCCTGCCTCTCCAACGTGCCTCTCAAGTCTCAAATCTCAGGGATTCTTCCAAAAGTGACACGCACACATCACGCCCCTCGGGATTCCCGAGGCGCCCCAGCACCGTCGCTGCCCAGCAGGGGCGGCAATATGCCGGGCACGGCCGCGCCAGGTTAACAGGTGGCACCCCTAGCAGGAACCGCGGCTGGGGATGGTGGGGGAGGGTGGGGGACGGGGATGGGAAGTGTCGTGGCCCCATCGCCTCGGCCGCCGCGGAGCTGCGGGGGACGCGGGACGGACCCGGGGTGCGGGGCGCGGGGGTGTCTCCCCCTTCACCTACCTTCAGTCCCGGCTGGCGGCAGAAGGTGCCCAGGCGCCCGCCGCTTAACTGCACTCATGCCTACGGTCGGGCTCAGCCACTCCGCCGGCCCCTGCGCTTCCCACCGGCAGACAGAAGGGAGCAGAGCGCGCTCTGGCTCCGTTTTCTTTTCTTGGTCATGAATTGGGGGAGGGGTGCGTGGGAGAAAAGGGGCTGCGGGCTTTGGGACGGGTGAGGTGGTTTTAGAATCCTCCTCCTCGGCGATGGCTACGAAGCCAGTATTATTCCTAATTGGAAGCCGAAAACGCCCCCCTGCAACTTCTTTATAGCTTACCAGGTTTAGCTTCAACTTCGCTCCCGGGTTCCCTTCCTCCCGCCCTTCCTTAATGCCACTCTCAAACCTTCTCGCCTCCGATTGGCCCTGCGCGCCCAGAGCCCGGCGCTCATTGGTCGATCGAGCTGAGTGACATGACACGCCCCATGCCAGCGGTCCACTTCTCTACCCGCACCCCCCCCCTCCCACCCCCCACTGCTCTGGGCCCCAGCTCGCCGCTTACAGCTTGCGGCTTGGTGACTGACTACGGGCGAGGTTCCGGAGATCCTAACGAGCTCCGGGCGCTGGGGGGCCTCGCTGCCAGCAGCCGCCCTACTCCCGGCCTGGGTGCCTTGCCCAACCAAGAGCCTGAGCCGCGATCCCTCGAGTTCCCTAGGGCCCGGGACTCGATGGCAGGCTGCGGCCCCTGACAGCAGAGGTTAGGTCCGCGGGCCGGGTCCCCCACCAGCAGGCGAAGCGGGAGTTATACACACTGCGCGCGGGGTTCGCCCACAGGTGCACCCCGCGGCCTCCTCCTCCCGTGGACGAGTGGTGGGGCCCACAGCACACGCAGGGCAGGTGTTGGTCTTTATTTTCTGTCTCGAGTTCTGAAACCAGAGTGGCGGAGATGAATGAACCTGTCTTCAAATTCACCCTCCAACCAGACAAGCTTCTTCTTCTTCTTCTTTTTTTTTTTTTTAACATGGGTTTGGTGGGAGGCTGTTTTGTTCCTCCGTGGAAATCTCAGTCATGTGGGATTTTCTCGTGGGAGCAGATTGGGAGACTAGAGGAAAAGAGATTCCAGTTCAGGCCAGAATTGAACTGGGGAGGGTGGTTGCTGTGTCAATGGCAATCGCACCATAATCCGTTATCTTAAAGGTGAAAGAAGATGTTTTGTTGGGTTTTGCTCCAGGAAACCAAAGTCCAAAAGGAATAATCCTTGCACAAATGACACCATTTACAACATTCACAACACCACAATTCCCCCAAAAGGAGCCGTTTAAACAAACGCTCCAAAGTATGATTGCTGACAAATTGTATGGTAAACACACTCTTAATTTGAGCCCCCTTTCCTTTCTCGTCAAAGACGAAAGAGAAGAAAAGTTAACTTGTTCCTTCTTCCACTCCATCACCCACAATTACTGTTGCTTGAGAATCACACCAGGTCAGTAAAATTTCTCCTCAGATTTGTGGGACATTGGTGACCAGTGGTGCTCCGTCTCTTGGCGATGAAAGACAGCGACACCAGTACTTTGGCCACCATTCTGTCCTTCGTGGCACTAATTCACTAATTGCTGCTGAGAAAAGACACTTTGAAGAGGGATGTGTGCCATTCTGCTAATATTTGGGAAAACTTTTGTTTAAAAACAGGGACGTCTGCCACCCTCTTGCCACCCTATGACAGTAAGCTTGTGCAGATGACAAGGGGAGCTTTCTGGGGCTATTTATACATCTGGAAAACACCTGGCAAGAGGAGATGAACATTCTGGACAGAAAGAATGGGATGGGGGGAGGTGTGGGGGAACAAACCCTAGAGATTTTATAGGTGTTTTAAATCTGGAAACCAGCCAGTGAACTTTAAAGTAGAGACAGTCATCCTCACCCGCAGGGTACAGTCACTCAGAGACCTGTCAAGGGACAGTTTCTCACCACCAAGAGAAGAGCAGGGAAGAGGTGCTTGGAAGGAGCATGAGGTGCTGGGGATTGAATACAGACCTCCTGCATGCAAACCATGCTCTCATGGTTTGAACTGTCTTTCCGGTCTCAGGGGATGGATTTTAAACAATAGATGGCTAGAAAGAAATGGCAAAATTCTGGGCTCCTTTATTCACAAGAGAGGTGTGTTTGAAGAGTGTAAAGGATTCTTTCACACCCTCTCCAACCTGGTCAGCTTTCAGGGGTAAAATAGATCCATCAATGAAGAAATGATGCTTTAAGGGTAAGAAGCTCTTCTCTATTCTATCTGTGTTCTCAAAAGGACTTCAGGTAAATCGTTTGTTGTTCTAAAACCTCACTCTCCAGGGTCCCGGGATATTATTGCTAGGGGGTAAAGGACTTGTCTTGCAAGTGTGAGGCCTTTGGTTTGATCCCCAGTACATCAGTAGATATTTTAAACCCCCTCGCCCACCCTAGTTCTCTCTGTATATGAAACAACATGCTGGAGGTTAGTGCTTTCCGGGGGGTTCGGGTCTGAAACTGTGCCACAGTAGGGACTCGGGTGTGGGTGTCAGCACCCTACTGACTCTCCCTCCAGGATGCATACGTTTAAAAAGAAATGCAGCGTTTTGCCCTCAGGAGCAAGATGGATGAAAAGGCGTCCTGGTGTGTGGGGTTCAGGCGGGCTGCTCGGGCGTTCCAGCGAAGCTCAGTCGTCGCTGAGAGGAGTAGATGTTTAATAAACAAAGTGCATGCGTAGCCATGTGGTGACAGGCTCGCTAAGTCCTCGGGACACGACAGCCCGAGCCGCGTTACGGAGAGTGCATTAGCATGGCGACGCAACACCTGTTTTTCTAATCTTTGAACCGGGGATGGAGCTGGAGCGCCGCTCCTCGCGTCCCCCACGCGGGCTCGGAGACCCGCCCGCGATTCCCGCACGCGCGCCCAGCCCGCCTAAGCGTGAGCCCGCACCTCCCGGGCCTCCCACGTGCTCTGATCAATTTCAAATACGTTTCTTGTGGCTCAGGTTAATCCTTCCCAAATCCTGCTAATGTGAGGGAAGAGAGCCCCAGAAAGCAAAGAGGCGGGCGCCTGCGAGGTGCTAACAGCAAAGAGGAATCCTCTTTGCGCAGGTGCCTTAAAATGTAACCCACGGGCCTCTGGCACCGTCTACGCGGTCCGGGAACGCGATCCTCCTGCGGGAAGAAACCGGAGCCGATCTATAAACAAACACGCCCCACTCCCTCTGCCCAGGAGGACAAAAAGACTGGTGGGATGGAGACGTGGTGCCCTTGGGAGGAATCCCTTCCACCTCCAGAGCGACCCTTGGCGGCAGCCCGCCCAGAGGCTGCCCTCAGTGGACCCTGGACGCCACGATGTGGGGGGAACCCAAGCTCCCACCCGCGGGGTAAGCCGCCGGCTTTCGGGCGGAACCCACACGCAGCGCGTCTGTGCGTGCGTGGCCCCGCGCTGCGCGCGCCCGGAGCGACCAGCGGGGAACCTGGGAGGGCGGCCAGACCCCTCCCTCCATCAGGCCGGTCCAGACTAGAAAAGCAAAACCATTGGGTCAGGAAAGATCAAGTGAACGCCCGTGTGCAAATCGCCCAGCAGTTTCCGCGCAGCAGCAGCGACAGGCGCGCTTAGAGGCGCCGGTCCCTACGTGGGGCCGATTCGTGTCCCGTCTCTGCCAGTTTCACTCTGCGCCTCTTGGATAAGGTACTTGAGCATCTGATTAAAATCCGGAACAATTTCTGCCCCTCCCCCCATCCACTTTGTTGTTTCACAGACTGCCCTGACTCATAATGCACGACTACACATCGCGTACATCATACCT